GTTTGGTTTTATTATAACATCAATTGAATCAAGTGCCTCGTTTGGTTTTATTATAACATCAATTGAATCAAGTGCCTCGTTTGGTTTTATTATAACATCAATTGAATCAAGTGCCTCGTGTGGTTTTATTATAACATCAATTGAAGCAAGTGCCTCGTGTGGTTTTATTATAACATCAATTGAAGCAAGTGCCTCGTGTGGTTTTATTATAACATCAATTGAACCAAGTTAGGGAAGGCAGCTAGTCATCACCACCCACCGCCAACTCTTGGGCTACTCTTTTACCAACGAATAGTGGGATTGATCGTCACATTATAACGCCACCACGGCTGAAAGGGCGAGCATGTTTGGTGGGATGCGGATTCGAACCCGCGACCCTCAGATTGTGAGTCGAGCGCCTTATCCACCTGGCCATGCCGGGCACTTTGATGACGAGGAACACACGTTATAATTTATCATAAAGTTTTCTTTGCTACCCGTTCGAACCGTCTCCACAATTTGATTTTAAAGTTATTTCTTGTTGTAGTTGTTTTTTATTTCAACATTTTCCCCCAAAGCTACACAAAGGGCGATTTGTGTTAACCATCCCTAATTTTTGGCACCTATACTAGAGAAAGGTAATTGGTTAACAGCACCCACCGCCAACTTTTGGGCTACTCTCAGCTCACAGATTTGACCACCACGGTACACCCAGGGCTCCAAAGTGTGAAGCGCGTTTTACAGCGATGTGACGCAAAACCGTAAATTGGTGGATTCACAATCCGGGTGTACTAACCACTAGGCGACGTCCACTCCAACACACCTATTTTAGCCAGCAAGAAACAGCTTTACAAGAAACATATGTAGAGGTTTTGGTCAAGAAACGTATATCAGCACTTCATAACATAGTTACTTGTAGTAACTTTTTACACGTGGCTGATTTAACTCATATTTATTTGTTTTCGTATGAGGAAATATGTCGTCGTAGTTAAGTTTAACTACCTCTATAACAAACTCATTGACCGATTTTAACAGTTTAATAAAAGTGGATAATATTTACATTTTGTAAGCACCAATGTAGACCTGGGCGGGCCACGGCCGGTCCACTTAGGATCCAAATCTACCTAATTAGCCTGTTTGAAGGTGCCCACGTCTAACTCTGTTATAGGAAGCCTTTTTTTTATCTCCCTGTAATTTGTCTACAGGCTTTGTACATCTGTCCGTCCGTCATAATTCCGGGCCCACCAAAAATTACCTACCTGCCTATGCCACTGTGCCTACTTAACCAACAATGGTTTATTTTTTATGATAGTGTTACGTCTCCGTTCGTTAGTTAATTTTCCGTAAATTCGTTCCGACGAAACTTTAGCGACACAAGTCCTTTCTTAAATAAAACTGGTTTATTCTTTCCGAATACAACTTTACGATACACTTAATTTCAACAGTCGCGCTATAACAAACGCTATAACAATGAACGTCTCATGTGCTCAGTTCAACAATACTCTCTGACTGCAGTTCAATTACTCATTACACTGTTCCGTCACGTTGTGACCAT